CATTAGATCTCCTGGAAGTGGAGGTACAGATAGTTGTGAATTGCCATGTGGATGCTGAGCCAGGGCTCTTGGGAAGAGCAGCATCAAGCCATCACTCCAGCCCATTATTTAGCATCTTTGTTTTTTTGTTTTTGTTTTTGTTTTTGTTTATTTTTTGTTCTTTTGAGACAGGGTTTCTCCTGGAACCAGCTTTGTAGACAAGGCTGGCCTCAAACTCTCAGAGATTTGCCTGTCTCCACCTCCCTGTGTGCTGGGATTAAAGGTGTGCACCACCATGTCAGGCTGAATTATTTAGCATTTTAATGACTCAATTTCTTCACCTTAAAAATTTAAAATTACATTTGTTTATTGTGTGCATGCATGTCTGTGTGCTGTAGAGTGAATGTGGAGGTGAGGGAACAGTGTACAGAATTTGATTCTCATCTTCCACCATGTGGGTACCAGAAATTGAACTCAGGTTCTCACAAATTCTGAGCCCTCTTGCCAGCCCAGTTTCTCCACTTCTAGGATGAAGGGAATGTAATTATACATTCTTCAGAAAGTTACAAGCTTAACTGAAGTCTATAAAGCACTTTAAAATGTACTTGATAGATGTGTAGCTGATAAGCAGCAGCTATTGTTACAGTGCAAAGAATCTGGGAACATAGAAAAGAATGGCTGTCTTCTTGGAGACATCAACGGGTATTTCTTAGTTCCATTTGACCTGCGTATGTTAGTTGGCAGTCTGTATCAGAGTACCTGACACAGGCTACATAGCAAGTGTTTAGTTCACAGGTTTGAAGGCTCAAGGTCTAGGTGGCTCAGGATTGATCCTTGCCTGCATCACCAGGTGGCAAATGGCAGAGAGCAATGGTAGGAGAATGTATTGGGAGCAAACAAGTGGTGATATCTTGAGCCAGAAGCAGGAGAGAATGGGAGTGAGAACAAGACAGAGAGGCCAGAGTCCTGTCATCCCAAAGGACCTAAGAACCTGTCACGGAGTCATAGGACAGAGGCCTGATTTAACCTTGAGAGTTACATGGAGGACACAGTAGTGGGAAGGTGGGGCAGGATGGGATCCGTGTGACCATATGATACAGACAGGCGAGCCAGCATTCAGCAGGAAGCGTTAGCTCAGGGTGAGAGGCAAGCACTGAGTAAGGAGTCTGTCGTCCTGTGATCTGATTGGCCCTTATCTCAGTTTCAGTTCTGGATTTTCCAGGTTCTAGAAAGTCAGTTCCCCTCCTATCCCCATTTGGTGAGGGTTGGGTGGTGGGGTGGAGATATGGATAGGAGTTGAGGGAGAGAGGGATTCTCACCACGGAGAATCTGTTCCTGCAAGTTAGCTGCAAAGACCAGAACTTTTTAGATGCTGCTGCAGGACACATAGAACCTGATGTAAAATCTGACCTTTGAAAGCCCTTGCAAATCTTGAAAACACTTCACTTTTATCTTGGTGTTTTTAGTCCAGAAGGGAGCTGAGATAGAATAGGTATATTTAGGGCTAACCAACCTTGAATTACCAGTTTCTATGCAGGTACTGCTTAAATGATTAACTTGCCTGTGTGCAGACTTGAGCAGGAATCTCAGCTGAAATTCGAAAGAGATCAGATGCAGGAGCTTGCTTGCTGGGGGAAGAGCTAGGTATTCCGGGACTTCGTGCTGGCAGAGATAGGAAGGAGATTTTTCTCAGAAGCAGCTGTGTTGGTCTGTCTGGCAAAGCCATTCCACAGGATGCAATGTGCTTATGTGTATAACAAGCAGGCTTTCTTCCTATGGGATTAGTCACCAGGTTGTGGTTGTTCTTGAAATTGTGTTAAATTCTTCATGAAGAATAGCATTTTTATGACAGTGATTGGTGATTTTGATATCCATAAACTTTGGCATTCCTAGTACTGACACAGGAAACACAGCTGTCAGGTCCATGGCCCAGGAACATAGGTTTAGCATACCTCAAATACCTTATTCCAATGTGGTAACACTTTCATGAAGCCTTTATAGTAAAACAGAAAAGAAAATCGGAAATCAAGACATCAGATACACTGGTGGAAACACTAGGTAGGGGGATTACAGCAAAGTAGAGGAAGTTTCTTCTATAGGCCTCTGATGATATCTGATGATATGCATAGTCTCCGGGCTGGTGAAATTGAATGGTCTCTGTACATTCCAGTGGGTCTACTTAATAGTTAGAGGTGTTAAATGAAACAGGTGGGCAATGAGAGACTCTTTAGGGGGCTTAGAGAACCTAAGATAGTTTGGCTCCCAACCGTAACAGTCCAGTTCTCCACAATCACATGGCTTTAAAAGCATTCCTTTATTATAGTTATTGTGTACTGTGTGTGCGGGGTGAGAGGCACACTCTTGCCACTGTGCATATGTGAACATCAGAGGACAGTGCTATGACACAGTTCTCTCCATGACCACTGGAGGATCCAGTCATTGAGGTCAGATGGAGAGGCTGTGTGGTAGGTGCCTTACCTGCTGAGCCATCTTACAGCCCCCACCCACCCCCACCCCCTTTATTTTTTCATGTGACAAGGTTTCTCTGTACGTTTGCCTATCCTGGAACTTACTCTGTAGAACAGACTGGCCTCTAACCTGGGCTCCTCCTGCCCTTGCCTCCCAAGGGCTGAGATAAAAGGCCTGTGGCACCAACACCCAGCTCAGTAGTTAATTTTTGAAGAGTAGCTGAGTAAAATTAGAAATTTTTATTTGGGAGAAGGGATTGTTTCCAGGTTTCAGAATGTCTCTGAAAGTATTGAAAACAGGTTGTAGTTTACTATTATCATTATTGTTTGCACAATACCAAGCATAGAAGTTCAAGTTTCTTGTTCTGTCTGGCACACAGGGTAAAATATTTTTTAAAGAATTTTATTTTAGGGTCTAGAGAAATGGCGTAGGTGTTTAAGGGCACTGCTGCTCTTTCTGAGGACACTCGGTCAGTGTCTAGCACCCACATCAGGCAGCTCCCAACGGTCTGGAACTCCAGCTAGAGGAATCTGATGCCTTCCCTCTTCTGGGCTCTGCAGGTGCGTGCACACGCGCACACACACACACGCACACACACACTGTATTATTTACTCATGGTTTATTTATGTTTGTACATATATAAATGGGAAGTGTGTTATGTGAATGCGTGCTGGATTTCTTGGAGACAGAGCTGCAGCTCGTGGTGCGCTGCATTGTGGGTGCTGGGATCTGAACTTCAGTCTTCTGGCAGAGCAGCAAGGGCTCTCGGTCACTGAGCCCTCTCTCTCCTCCATTCCCCTCTCATCAGCACTCTTATAAGGAATTCACTGTTATATGTGGGAAAATAAAGCCACAGCGGTGTCCCAGAAGCTTATGCCAGCGGGTCCCACATACAGGAGAAAGTCCTGGAGTTCCAAAGGCTAGGAGTTTTGGCAACAGCAGGCCCCAAAGACACAAGAAAGTCCTTGGTTCCTAAAGGATTTATTTTCATGGCGGATGGTAGATGGATCTAGATGTAACCCCCTGAAACTCAGGGCAGACCTGAGTTAAATAGGGAGGGAGAAAGGGGGAGGGTCTGGGGAAGAATGCTTAATTGGCTCTGCCCTCTGGCCTTCAATAGTATGTAAATCTCTAGGGCCTGAGGCCTGTAGTCACACCCTCTACCTGTGTACTTTGGGAGGGGCTGTAATGGCCTACATGACTGAACAATGTAGGTCCTTGGAGACGAGACTGTGTGTCAGGACTCTGGGTTCTGGGGATGTGGCTGAACACCTGCTGCTTCTCCCTTGGAGTCTCGGGGTTCCAGGCCCATGCCCAGCCAAGAACCAAGATACCCTTATGCAGTCCCACAGTTATATCAACTTGTTTTAACTTTAAAATTACTAATAAAATGTCTTATTGAATTATCTGAAGCAATATGTTAAAATGCAGAGATGAAATTAAAAATGAAAATAGGAAAGGTCTTCTACAGATATCCCCTAAGAGATGCTTCATTACAAAAACTGTCAGTAGCAAGCCATGGGAGTGAATCAAACACATGATATGCAAGCTTGATCTCTGAGCTGTGTCGGGTGTGTCCTGCTCTTAAGACTTCCAAAACTTAGAAAAAATACTTTTCAGAAAAAGAGACCATAGTCTTAATTATAGTTAAGTGTTTATTCTTTTATGACTTCTGACTTCCTATAGGTAAACCATAGGAAGGACAAGTGCTGCTTCTAAATCTTTTTTTTTTTTTTTTTTTTATTTTTTTGAGACAAGGTTTCTCTGTATAGCCCTGGCTGACCTGGAACTCACTCTGTAGACCAGGCTGGCCTAGAACTTAGAAATCCACCTGCCTCTGCCTCCCAAGTGCTGGGATTAAAGGCGTGCGCCACCACTGCCCAGCCAAGTGCTGCTTCTAGAGTGAAGTCAGAGTTTTAGGAAGTTACCCAGAGAATCTCAAAATCAGCTTCTAAATGGGACTGTGTAATTTCCTTCCTCAGAAAATTTAAACAAACTACATGGCAGAATTTATTTCTGAAATGGTTGGGTTGGTTTCTAATGCTGGGAATGGCCTGGTGATCCTAAGAGGAGTAGAATGACCTTTGACCATTGTTTGCATGATGACTGACATCTGTGCCTGCCGTGGGAGCTGCTGTTAGAGGGTCCCCTCAATTTCCTAGCTTCGCATAGCCTAGCATTGTCTCTTTTCTCTGATAGGGGCTACAGTGAACAAAATGTGGTAGGGCTCAGGTTTGTACAGTGCCTGGAAAACAGTGGTAGATGCACAGTTTTCATCCGTTAGACAGGAAGTAAGGTCCAGTCTTCAGCTGTTTACAGGAATACAATGTTCAAATCTTTGCCCCCAAATTGTAGACTTAATATTAGAGAGCTGTGGCTAGGAGAGATGAGAGCAACAGTGACGGACACGGGGTACAGGTTAAAATAAAGTCCATCTCTGTGGTCCTTTGGATGTTAGTCTGCTGTTACCTTTGTCATACTCTGTATTTGCTAGGTTGTCTGTAGGGTACATTAGCTGACACTAAAATAATGGTACCTATGGTCTTTTTCAGATTCACCAAAAACTTATCTCCTGACAAAATAAACCTAAGCACTCTTAAAGGAGAGGGTGAACTGAAGAACCTGGAGCTGGATGAGGAGGTGCTCCAGAACATGCTGGATTTGCCCACCTGGCTGGCCATCAACAAGGTGTTTTGTAATAAAGCGTCCATCAGGGTAAGACTTGGGTGTCTGAGGAGACTTGCTCCTAGTTTTTGTTCCATTGTTATCTGTTAAAATAAATACTCAGCTTCAGATCATGTTACAAAGAAACATTACATTCCTATTATTTACACAAAAATAGCTGCATGAGTGGTTTTCATCCCTTTGAGTATAATTGAAGTAACATATTAATAACTTACATTTACATTTTTTTTTTTTTTTGGTTTGGTTTTTTCAAGACAGGGTTTCTCTGTGTGGCCCTGGCTGTCCTGGAACTCACACTGTAGACCAGGCTAGCCTCGAACTCTTGAACTCAGAAATCCGCCTGCCTCTGCCTTCCAAGTGCTGGGATTAAAGGTGTGTGCCACCACCTCCCGGCACATTTACATTTTTAAAAACAATTTCATGGATAGTTTAGTAAAATTAATTTTTATAAATTAATTGCTTTACTTTGGCATATATTCAATGATAGTTTTCCCCCCTTAGGTTTTATTGTCAAATGAAATGTTTTAAATTTTTAATACTTTATTTTAAAGGCATATATAAGAATTGTCATTTATTATTTTAGACATTATGCTATTTTAGAGTTTTATGCCTTTCATTTATTTTTTTGTTATTTTCAGGAAGTTAGGGATTTCTATTTACTTTTATTATTGCCAATATTTTTATCCTTATTATTCTGCTGATTTTTTTGTTTCTAATCTTATGTCAATTCTTACATCTTATAACTTCTTGCTGCTAAAGACCAGGTTTAGATTGAGAAGTTACTTGGGAGAGACAATGTGTGTTAATGTTTTTTTATAAAAATAAAGTTTGGGTTTCCTTTGGAAAAGGGTACTGTATCCTTTGATGCTAATCGTTTATTAATTTGCGTCAAATTAATGAACCCAAATATCAGCAAAGACTTGACTGGGTATGCAAACATTGTCTCTGTGATGCAGCTGGTATTTCCCATCAATTGTTTTATTTTGAATTTACTTTTAAGGAGCTGAAAATATGATGGTTGGAATTCTAAAGTTAAGCAAACTAATAAACAGAAGAGTGATTATGCTTTGCTGATAATTCTTAAATTATCAAAATAAAACGTATTTTAAGGACTGGTAAAAACATGCAACTACCAGAACTTGAAATTCTTTAAATAGTCAACCAGTTTCTTATATAACAGATACCTTGATTTCAATAGTATTAATAATTTCCTCAATTTATTATTTCACATTCTGAGAGAGATGTATAAAGTATAATGTAAGTTGCTATCTTTTAAATGCAGAGATATCTGTTGATTACTATAGCATATAAAGTTTTAATAATTAATTTTAAGGAAAAAAATTTATTTGTAGATTCCATGGACAAAACTGAAGACACACCCCATCTGTTTGGTGAGTACTGAAGCTGTTTCAGAAATAAGCATTCATATATGTAAATTAACTGTTCTGTAAACATTGATATTTTGTTTCTTAGATTTTCCATCTGTTAGCTTCCACTTTATTTTTATCGGACCTAGTTTTTTTTAGCCGTTATGTGAGAAACTTGAACTTTAAAATAAGAGAAATTTATCTTTTAATTTAAATTTAATAAACACTTTTTGTGTTTTTGCTTTTATTTGTCTAACAAGTTTAGTAATATGTTCTGTAGTGAACTTCACTTTTTAAAGAAAATGAAATAAAATGTATCAGTTAACCCTTTGTTTTTAATTTAAGCTTTATATTTTTTGTGTGTAGTATGTGGTGTGTGTGTGTTGGGGGGGTTGTGTGTGTGTATGTGTGGTTGTGGTGTGGTGTGTGTGTGGTGTGGTTGTGTGTGTGTATGGTGTGGTTGTATATGTGTATGGTGTGGTTTTGTGGTTGTGTGTGTGTGTGTGATGGCAGGCATGTGAAAGTTAAAGGTACTTTGCAGGAGTTGGTTCTCTCCTCATACTGTGTAACAGTGTGTTCCAGCTGGAAAACTTAGGTTTAGGTTGCTTGTCTTTTGTAGCATGCGCCTTTACCTGAGCTATGTTCCCAGCCATGGATTCTTTAACGATTCGTCGTTCATCCATTCCATAATACTGGGGGTGGTGTTCTAAACAGAATCCACATCCTTGAGCATGTTGACCTAATTTCTATACTTAGCCTCATTCCATAAATATTCTTTATAAAATCACCTGTTTTCTTTTTGGTTTTTCAAGACAAAGTTTCTCTGTGTGTAGCCTCTGTTCTGGAATTCCTTAGACCAGGCTGGCCACAAACCACAAGAGATCTGCCTGCCTCTGCTGGTGTCACCACTGCCCAGCTAAGATTATTCTTGTTCTTGACTTTAGTAATTATTGAATAATATGATTTCTAAACCAGAAATTCCTATCTTAATTATTTCCACCCCCAAATCCTGAGAAAGCTTTATAGACAGGAAATGTAACACTATGTATTACCTTCCCATAATCACTGTTCCACCCGCTGTATTCCTCTCAGTGATGGCTGTTCCTCTAAGCTCCACCCCATGCTCCAAGCTCCACCCAGTGCTCTAAGCTCCACCCTGTGTTCCAAGCTCCACCCAGTGCTCCAAGCTCCACTCAGTGTCCCAAGCTCCACCCAGTGCTCTAAGCTCCACCCCATGCTCCAAGCTCCACCCTGTGCTCTAAGCTTTACCCCAGTTTTCCAAGCTCTACCCAATGCTCTAAGCTCCAGCCCGTGCTCCAAGCTGTACACTGACTGCAATTACTATCAACTCTGACTAAATCTCTGGAATCTATGATTGATCTTGCTTCCTTACCTCTTGCCTGAAACAATGTCACCACCTTCTCAGTGCTCATCCTGCCCCCCATTCTCTTTTCTCCTCTGAAATGAAAACATAATTATTAGTAAATATTCTTATAAATCAGAAATCTGGTTAGTCTTCTATGATGGATTATGTTAACTGTCAACTTGCCTAAAATGACCTGGTTTCTGATCTTAAGAAATGTATATTTTAGCAGAGGTTGACTGAACACACAATAAAATACGATGACTTTAGATAATGATAAATGCTGTACTTACAGAGAAGATGATGTGAATTTGTGGATTCACTCACTGTTAAAGACATTCGATTTATCTTCAAGAAGAAAGCTATCTGGAGACCAGCTTTCCCTACTCTGGAGTGTTTCCCTTGCTCACTCCGTAGTGTGCTTGCTTTTATGACTCATATTTTAGGTCTCAAGATAAGACTTCTAGATGTAGTTCAGTTTCATTAATTAATATATAATTTATTAATAATGCAGTATTATGGGATTAGAGATAATGCTTCATTAAGTCCAGTGACCTATTCAGTTAATGGCTGCTTCTGTATTTTCTCCCCCACTCATAGAATGTGTATGTAATTTTCCCACCAGTAGATCAGTGAGTACCCCAGTGTAGGACTGAATGCTTTGTTTTCTCTTTCGGGGTTTTTATAATTGTTAGCTTCTAAATAGTTAGTCCTAAATAAACAAAAGACAGAGTATACTTCATACTTTGACAGTTCACATCCATCTCTAATTATGTACTGTATTAGTCTCTAGATAAAGTAATAATGGAGATGAGTACATGTGAAGAGCCACGAGCCCCTAACGGTCCATCGCCAATTGCAACTGCTTCAGGACAGAGGTAAGCCACGGCCTCCGCTTTGTGCGGCTGCTGCTACAGGCTGTTCTGGTCTATAGTAGCCTCTCTTATCTGCAGCACCAGGATCGGAAGATATAAAATCCTTTAACTTCAGATACCCTCTGCTTGGCCTACCTCTTCATTAGCCAGTCTCCACAGTCAGTCAGTAGTTGGTTAATGCTAAGTTCCATTCCTCTTGAGTATCAAACTGTTAAATAGTAATGTGTAGCCAGGAGCAGTGCAGAAGAGATCAGGTGTTGTATAAATCAGATCCTCGCTTAAGGTTTCATTACAGTAGCTGTCTGTGCTTTCATTTTCTCTGTCTTCAGTTAACTGACTAGAGACAGTCTAAAAATACTAGATGGAAAGTTCTGGAAATAATTAATAAACTTGAAAGTCTATGCCATTATGAGTGTCATGAAAGACTGAAATTTAACTGGACATGCAAATCATTCTTTTATCCAGTGTATTCATGCTGTGTAGGCTGCTGCTGGGTAGTCAGGCAGCTGCTGCCTGGGTTCTCTGGTCATTTGTTAGGATCACAGTGTTTTATGTTCAAGTAACTTTTACATAGCAATACTCATAAAACTACAGTATATATGCTGTTGGGTTTATTTAATCTATCACATAGGCCTATTGTTGGACTGTGATGAGTGCGTGGGCCTGGGTTCTGTTGGGCTGAGTTGTGAGTCCCTTGTGTCTGCTGCCCCAAGGGGCTGGGGCCGTGGCTCAGGGGCAGAAGTGTGGGAAGCTGACTGTGTTCACTCCACACTGCTCCACTCAGGAGTGGAGAGAACACAGTCTGGGGCCTCATGGGGGCCGGAGCTCTTGGGTTGGGGATTCTTGGCCGGGGGTTGTTGTCCAGGAACCAACTGCTCTCAGATCCTTAGGCTCTCAGGTGCCACTGAGAGGCTGCGGAAAGGCCGAGATGGTGGAGTACCGTACAGGCTGAAGGGGTGAGGGGTACAGATGAGCTCCAGCAGTGATGAGCTCCAGCAATGCCCCTCGGGGAATGAGAGTCTTGGTCACAGTGTGGTGGGAGGTTAGAAGGTGGCTTGGTAGTTGAACACCTTCTCCACGGTTCCCTGGTGTGGGTCCTAAAGAGGAGAGGTAGTCCAAGTCTTAAGATATGGTCTTCAGATCTTTATTGTCATGGCAGAAAATTGATGAAGCTATATCCCATATTCTCAGGGTGGGCCTGATGTTAAATGCCTTTTGCAAGGAGGAGGGTCTGGGAAGGAATGCTTAATTGGCTACACCCTCTGGCCTTTAGGTATCTCATGAATATGGAGATGTCTTGAGGCTCTGCAGCCTGTAGTCCCACCCTCTATCCGTACTATGTGACCAATGGCTACAAACCTCTCTTTGGGAGGGGCTGTAGAGGGCTGTGGCTATGTGAAAGGAACCAGGACCCAGGAGCAACGCCAGACTCCTACCCTCCCTGAGGGTCCCTGGGGTTCAACGTGCTCCACCAGTTACCCAGCTGCCTCTCACAGCCCACAGCCCCACAGCTTATATTTTCTTACATTATCACAAGAAGGGTATGTTTAGCCTAAGATATTTTGATCTGGGGTTATAACTCAGTTGATAGATTATTTAGCTTAGCATGTTCGAAGCCCTGGATTTATGCAGCATTACTCACAAACAGATGTGGTGAGATGTGACTAAATTCCAGCCCTCAGGAAGTAGTGGCAGAAGGATAAAGAGTTCAAGGTCACTCGTGGCTACTTATTTGAGATCCTGTTTCAAAACCAAAAGTGTCTTAAGAATGTCCATATCTCATAGCTGTTTGTTTTCAGTGTATAGTTATACTTGCTCTTTTATTATTACTTATTGCTGCCTCTTATGTCTAACTTATCAATTAAACTCCATTATAGGTATATGTGTATAGAAAAAATAGTATACAATCTGGTAGAATCTGTGATTTCAGGCAACTACTAGAGTCTTGAAACATTAATATTTCTCTGAACCTCATTTCCTAGGCATTAATGAACATCTGTCATTCCTAAAAGTTAACTGTGTCTTGGTAAATTATAGAAGTATAAAATGTGAGTTTCAAAAAAACATCACGTTCCACAAGTTAAATTTGGCTTGATAAAATCAGATGCTGATAAGATAGTGTCATGTGGGCTATTTTATAAAGCTTTCTGGTGACTGAAGCCATCTAGAAAAGGCTATGGCAAGTAAGTGAGTTTCCTGGAGATGGCCCACCATTTTGCATGACTGTGATGGGTGCACTCTGGAGAGGAGCAGCCTCAGAGACTTCGTCCCAGATTGCTTCTTACTGCTGATATGCCTTTTCTGCCATTATTACCTAGCCTAATGATATTTGGGCATCGGCCCACCCTATTGGGCAGACTTCTTGCCAATCAACATGAAGATGAAGTTTCATGAATTAATGCTCAATGAATCAATTACTTAATTGCATTCATGATTTGATTAAAATAATTTTAAGAAGAAAGTTTAAGGAGATGGTTTTAGTTGTTTTGCTAGAGAAATGTATTAGAGTTAGAATCAAGAATAGAATGTGTCCCCTCCTCATAGAATAGTAAGTAAAGGCTGCATAGTTAGAAATACATGAGCTTTTATAAATTATACTAAGAGGAGAAATAGGCTTGGGACACATTTGTGATCAAGGAAAAGGTTTCTTTCTAGGTCAGGTCCAAGGATGAAGCAACAAATGTGTGCTATGGTAAAACCAGGCCACGTGAAACTGTTGCTTTGAACTTATAATGAGCTTATAGAGCGAAACACTGCTCTGAATTTACTATTGACATCCTTCCGTAACTTCCCTTTTGTGTAACATTTTATTTATGAGTTAAGATTATAAGAACTTTTGTCTAGGAGGTATAAGTTGCCAGAGAGAAGAAATAAAGTGTGGCTTTTGAGGCTCTGCCACATCCACTAAATGCATATATGTACATATGTCTGTCTGTCTATATGTGTGTACATACACAAATGTGTAAGTTTATGTATGTATGTGTGATATATATATGCATGTGCACTTGTTAATATTACTGACATAGGTGGTCGGGCCTGGCCAAAGTGTGTGTGTGTGTATATATACATGTACATGTGCCTGACTTTCTTCTTCCTTTTCTTTTCTCTCTTGCTCATGAAGAGTTAAAGAACTCTGAGCCTCTCACCTGGCCTGCTGGCCAGTGAGGGGCCACAGAGAAAAGAGCCCAGGTAACTTAGCCTTTTTTTTTTTTCTTAACCCCCTGGTGCTCTCAGTAGGAGTTAAATTGCTGAAGTCACTGGCTTACCCTTCTGCTGCCTTCCCAGGGAATTTGATCCTGAGAAGCCCCCAGCATTATTGAAAAGTTGAAATAGATTTTTTAAAAAAAGAAAGACTTATTTTATTTATGTGAGTACACTGTAGTCTTCAGACATACAAGAAGAGGTCATCAGATCCCATTACAGATGGTTGTGAGCCACCATGTGCTTGCTGGGAATTGAACTCAGGACCTCTGCAAGAGCAGCCAGTGCTCTTAACTGCTGAGCCATCTCTGCAGCCCTTGAAATAGATTTTTAAAGAATTACTTGTTTTAGAGGCTGGAGAGATGACTCAGGCCTGAGTCAGGAGCACTGGCTGCTCTTGCAGAGGACCCAGGTTTGGTTGCCAGCACTCGCATGGCTGTTAACAATGTTCTCACACTTGTGTTGTAGCAGTATCCAGCATCTTCTTCTGGCCTCTGTGTACTTACATACACGAAGGCAAAACACTCATACATGTAAGATAAAAATAAATCTTAAAAAAGGATCTTATATGACTGGTAAGATGGCTCAGTGGGAGAGGGCTACAGGAGTGGACATTATGGAAGGAGAGGACCAACTCAGACTAGTCTTTACTTTCCATGAGTTTGTATAATGTTACCAGAGAGAAGAAATAAAGTTGCCGAGATGCCTCAAAGAACTGTGCTCATTGCTGTGGAGCTTAGCTGTGGACCATATGGAACAGTGACAGGGAAATGGCTTTCATGGTCATTCTGTAATTTCTCCTCTATCTAGAAACTTAGTTTATATATAGTATGGACTAAAATTTTGCGTTTGATAGAATGGTTTGTTTTTTAGACTGGCTTGTCTGAGAGAATTGGAGAAAAGGTAGAAACACTTGTAAGATCATAGAAGGGGAAATATATAGTGAGACTGATTGTCTTGCATTTTTCACTTTGGGAACTGTGAGTTGGATATTAAGCATTTCGTATGTGGACTTGTATGCGATCATTATCCGATACTTCTTAATGACTATTTTCTTCCTTTCATGCATTGTATTTTGTTTTGCTTTGTTTTCCAGCGAATATGGCTTTGCTGAAAAGGTTGTTGAGGGAATTACTGTTTCTGTCAATTCTATTGTCATCAGAATTGGAGCGAAAGCTTTCAATGCCTCCTTTGAACTTTCTCAGCTCCGTATCTACAGTGTCAACGCACAGTGGGAACATGGAGACCTGAGGTTTACTCGGATTCAGGATCCACAGAGAGGAGAGGTAAAAGGCTTTTTTCTTACTAGAACCCATTTAGTCATTGTAAATAAACAGAGTCATTTAAAATTACATCTGGGACCTGTGAGGATGGCTCAGTGCGGGAAGGCACTTGCTGCCAAGTGACCTGATCCATCGCTGAAGCGTGGTTGCAGGAGATAGCTGACTCCTTGCTGAGGCCTGGGTGCCCACACATATGCACACATATCTCCGCATGCCCACAGTCAGTTTAAAAACTCAGTAGAACACCTGGAGGAGGCTCAGCAGTTGGAACCCGTGGTGCTATTGCAGAAGGCCTTCATGTGGTTCCCAGGTACACTACAGGTTCACAGGCACCTGGAACTCCAGTGCCAGGGTGACCTGACTCCCTTTGCTGGCTTCTGCAGGTGCATGCACACATAGTACACCTACATACGAGTAAGGGGGTACATCTATGGTTGCCAGGAATCACCTTCTAGTTGATTCTTTTCTTCTGGACTTATAAGTATCCTATTATAGTAACCTAAATTATTTAATTATAAAAGTTGGTATTTTAGTGTTTTACTATATAAATCTTTGACCTTATGAAAGTAGAGTCCTACATTCTAATTAAAAAATTTGTGTGTGTACATGTGTGTATGTGCATTTGTTTCTGTGTATATCTGCATGTGTGTGTCTGTGCATGCATGTGTGTACATATGTGTGTACCTGTGTATGTTTCTCTGTACATATGTGCTTGTGTGTTGGTACCTGTACAGGCATGTGTGTTTACCATGGCATGCATGTGGAAGTCAGAGAACAACTTTGTGGAGTCAGTTCTTTCATATTTATGTGGGCTCCAGGGGTCAAGCTGAGGTCAGCCAATCACAGTGAGCACCGTTAGCGTTAGCTCCTTTGTGGTTTATTCCAACATGTTTTAGTGATGATTCTAGTGCTACTCGTTATTGATGTTGTTTTCTAAATGAAATTACCAAAAGTCTCACAGATGAGTACAATTCTGAACATTTGTTATTGAATTTGATGTAGCATATAAAAGTAGCGTGAATATTTTTAGAATGTCACAAAAATTAGTTGGGAATGTGCATGTTTTATTTGCTTTCATAAATGTACACTTTTCTAATTTTGCATGAGGAATAGCTAATCTCTGTTTTCTCCTTAGGTTTTGACATTTAAAGAAATAAATTGGCAGATGATTCGAATTGAGGCAGACGCTACCCAGAGTTCACATCTTGAAATTATGTGCGCTCCTGTTCGATTAATAACTAATCAGTCAAAAATCCGAGTCACCCTTAAAAGAAGAGTGAGTAAGACTGTCTTTTGGCTCCTGTGATAGCTGATAGAGTAAGCAAGAGTCAGGGGTGCTGTGTCACTGTGTGCCTGTGTGCAGTGTTCAGACAGAGTTGACAGGTGAAAGGGGACTCAGTGCGACCAGTCGCCTGTGCTTGTAGAAAGCTAGCACAGTTACAGCACTCTTCATCTGGTAGGTGGGTGAATAGATTCTTTCAGATTCACATTTGCTGGATATTTCCTGTGTTAGAATTTCATTTCACAGTCTGGGAGTATAGCTTGTGGTAGAATGCTTACTTAGCATCAGTCAGGCCCCGAGTTCAGTCCTCAGATGCAGCTAGGAAAAAAAAAAAAAAAAAGAAGAAGTTGAGGAAGCAAAAATTTCTCTTCCTGAATTTTGCTCAACAATGGTCTTTTTTATCCATAGCCAAAACTTTAGCCGTCAGTAGGTTTTAAGATTTTTCTGGAGGGGCAGATGTGGTGACACACACTGTTAGCCCACCCCTTGAAAGGCAGGGTTCCAGTTCCATAGAAAGGCCCTGTCTCAAACAAAATAAGATGATGCTGGTAGCGTAGATAAATGAAGAAACCAGCAGAAGAGGATTAGAACATGGCGCTCCACTGGGGCTGGTGGCGAGACTAAAGGAGGAGATGATTCTTTTAGAAACAGGCCTATTTAAAGACTCTGCAGCTTGCTGTGCTCGGTGTCACTGGACAGTAACATACGTAACTGTGGTAGGCTCCACTGAAGGGGATTTTCTGTGAATTGAACAGAGAGGGATTCCCTGAAATGTGAAGAGTGGACGAAATGACCGTTAGGTGTTTGACAGGTTGTTAATTCCTCTTTGTCAGGTAGGATGAGCTCAGTTAATAGAAGTGATTGTGACCTGTGACACTGCACCTAGAAATTACATACATGTCATGTAATCTGTACTTAAGAAACTTGTCAGTCTTTCCTGTAGCATAATTTCTAGCTTTGAGAAATATTCTATTATGTAGGAACTCAATAAGTATTTGTTATATTTCCATCCTTGTTTATCGTTTATCTTGTGGAAGTGATACCCATGTCATACTGTGTGTGTGTGGGGGGGTGTTGGGTTTCTCCTTCAACCATGTGACCCTGACAATTGCCTCCTGAGCCAGCTTGATGGCTTAAATACTTATTAAATGAAGACAGTATCCAAATTCACATTTAATCCAACTAAAAAACTTTATGCTTGCTGGAGAGATGGCTCAGCGGTTAAGAGCACTGACAGCTCTTCCAGAGGTCCTGATTTCAAGTCCCAGCAACCACATGGTGACTTACAACCATCCGTAATGAGATCTGATGCCCTCTTCTGGTGTGTCTGAAGACAGCTACAGTGTGCTCATATAAATAAATAAATCTTAAAAAAAAAGTTAAAAACTTTATGCTTTTAAAAAATATAAGTGTGTTATAAGTTTTATTCTTGGATTAATTTTCTAAATCATTTTTCTTACAGTTAAAAGACTGCAATGTCATTGCAACAAAGTTAGTACTAATACTGGATGATTTGTTATGGGTTTTAACGGATTCCCAATTGAAAGCTATGGTGCAATATGCAAAGTCTCTTAGTGAAGCAATAGAAAAATCAACAGAACAAAGGAAGAGCATGGCTCCTGAACCTACTCAGGTATGCTACAGAGTCACAGAATAAAAGACTATGTAACTAGTTTAACCAATTAGTTTGGTGAGCTGGTATTTCCGTTTTATGATATTGTGACACTGACATTAAGTGTCTCCTTTATCTAAATCTGATGCAGGATAATGTTATATGTGACATTACTGTGTGTCTAGTGCTTATTTTGCTTGGAGCTCTTTGTAAGGCGGATAGAATCATGACAGCATAGCCTATTTGATGGCGTCCTGCATGGAGGACATAGGAGTCTGTTGAGTCACTGCTTCATCAGGCTGCACCTGTTTCCTTGGGACAGAGCCTCTCTCCCTGAGCTTGCTAATGGGATGGCAAGCAGCCCCAGGCATCCTGGCTCCACCTCTCACAGTTATAGTTGGCAGCGCCCCACAGTTTATATGAGGGCTGGGGACCTGAACTCAAGTCTTCATACTTGTATAGTGAATGCTTTTATGCACTGGGCCATCTTCTAGCCCAATGATGCTTTTTAGGAAGAAAAAAAAATCAGTGGAAATAGAAATCAAACCCCGATATTAGAAGAGAAGGCACTGGAGGCTGACGGTACAGATAGCTAGCTGTCTGGAGACACTGACATCTGTTAGGATTTTCTCATGGCCAGTAGTGGGTGGGGAGGAAATGAGGAACATCAATTTATCTGAAGAAAACAAATTTTTCCGATTTTCCCAGTTTTAAATTCTTATTGCTATTACATGAACATTTTTGTAGAAGGGATGTGGAAAATTCCAATGTGTGGTATCTTAGATTTTTTTTTATTAAAAGTAGAAAAAATTTCATATCTTGTAAAATTTTTATGAGATATAAAATCACACTTCTATGAGTTTTTTTGTTTTTAATGCCTTGATCCTTCTTGGCAATCTAGCTCATTGGTGATGGAGCTTGGTATGGCATCATTGTAGTCTTTCAGTGCTGTTCAGAGCGGTGCTGCTATCTGCCTCCCGTGGGACCCTGCCTTTAAGGACCTCGGAGTGATGGAGAGTATAAAGTAAACCTCGCAGTTCCACATAAGGCTCGAGGGAAGAAGCAGACAAGGGCCAGATGGAGACATGAAAGGAGCACAGAGTTGTGCCTGAGCTATAGGACTGGAGACATTTTACAAGAAATGTCATAAGACTGTGTCTTAAAAAGTGAGGAGCCAAGCTAGGGAGATGGCTCTCTGGGAAAAGCGCCTGCTGAGCCATTGTTAGGCTCCGAGTTTGGATCCCCAGCAGCCACATAAGGCCAGATGTAATGTAATCATCGTTAGTCTCTGCGTTCCTATGGGAGGTGAGCAGTGCGGCTCCTGGGCCAGTGTGCAGGGTCTACACAGCATGCATAAAACCATGCTCTGTTTCCAAAACTTGCATTTAAGGAAATTGAATTCCACACATTAATGTGCTCTTTATTTCTCCCGACTGCCTGAGAATATGCTTGTTTTAGATGTTACATGAGTTCTCCCGTGCCATGAGTGCAATGACCATACTTAAGAAACGAAAGGCACTCTCTTACGCATCTTCAATCTGTGATGGACTTGTCCAGGAAGAACAAGTACTTCTGGGAACAAGACAGGAAATTTGAGCTACTTGCTGACAGAAATGAATGCTTCTCTTGACTAAGTGACGAATGACTTCCGTAGTTTTGTTTTGAATCCCTTTGGAGGAGGAGCTGATCTCTCTCAGGAGGAGCTAAAGGGTTGGGTTATTGGAGGTAATATAAAATGGTGAGCACATTACGAATCCTAGCATGTTACTTGGAGTTTAAAGCACCAAATTTCATTTTAAAAACAAATTCTTTATATATTGAACCATCCTTGCACCCCTAGGATGAAGCCTACTTGATTGTGGTGAATGGTCATTTTTGATGTGTTATTGGATTCGGTTTGTGAGAATTTTATTGAATAATTTTGCATCGATATTCATAAGGGAAATTGGTCTGAAGTTCTGAAGTTTGGCTGAAGGTTTATCTATCTTGTTGATTTTCTCAAAGAACCAGCTCCTAGTTTTGTTGATTCTTTGTATACAAGTTCTCTTTGTTTCGACTTGGGTGATTTCAGTTTGATTATTTCCTGCCATCTGTTCCTCTTGGGGTTATTTGTTTCCTTTTGTTCTAGCGCTTTCAGATGTGCTGTTAAGCTGCTAGTGTATGCTCTCTCCAATTTCTTTGTGAAGGCACTCAGAGCTATGAGTTTTCTTCTTAGCATTGCTTTCATTGTGGCCCATAAGTTTGGGTATGTTGTACCTTCAATTTTGTTAAATTCTAAAAAGTCTTTAATTTCTTTATTTCTTGCCTGGCCAAGTTATCATTGAAGAAGAATTGTTCAGCTTCCACATGTATGTGGTCTTTCCGTTGTTTTTGTTATTATTGAAGACCAGCCTTAGTCCATGGTGATCTGATAGGATGCAAGGGATTATGTCAGTCTTCTTGTATCAGTTGAGGCTTGTTTTGTGTCTGATTATATGGTCAGTTTTGAAGAGGTACCATGAGGTGCTGAGAAGAAGGTATATTCTTTTGTTTTAGGGTGGGTTAGAGCAATAGGACAGGGCTAGTCCAGAAGAAGTGTGTACATGGATTTAAGGAAATAGCTTGAAAGAAATATCAAGCCAGATTGGAAAGCAATACCTATGTCTTCTAAAAGTTAGAGATAAGGACTTGTGGACTTTAGAATGATAGTATCTTGTACAGAAGAGAAAGCAGCTTTGACTGAAGAGGTATGGGTAAAGAAAACTAGGAATATAAGTATGTACAGATGTGTACTGAAATTTATTGGGCTTATAGTCAAATTGTGTATAACTCTCCAGTTTTTAATCTAAATTATATTTTCATATAATTTAAGGCAACTGAACTACTATACAAAATGCACTGAATACTGCTCATTTTCCATGAGTGTCTTGCTGGAACCATTCAGGTTTGCTTGTACGTGGCACTTTAGGGATGCAAGTGGGCAGTGATAGTGTGGTTTGGACTCTTTAGAGCTCTGCAGTCACTTCATCTGCACAGCACGTCAAGACCCCACAGGCCACCAATGCTCCTGACCTAAGCGATGCAATTGTGAAACTCTTCAATGACTTTGATGTGAAGGAAACCTCTCATCATCTAGTGATTTCCCATCTAGATCTACACATCTGTGATGATATCCATGCAAAAGAAAAAGGTAATCTTACACCAGACTATTTTGGCTTTTGTACAAATCAACTACAAAACTCTTGTTTATTATATGGAGTATATATTGCAGAATATGAAACATTGTTTGAAATATTCTATTGGTCTGAAATTTTATTTGGCTTTAATAGTTAATACTTAATCTTTTTTAAGATTTAATTATTTATTTAATGTATGTGAGTACATTGTTGCTCTCTTCAGACACACCAAAAGGGGGGATCGGATCCCATTACAGATGGTTGTAAGCCACCATGTAGTTGCTGGGAGTTGAACTCGGGACCTTTGGATGAGCAGACAGTGCTTTTAACCACTGAGCCATCTCTCCAGCCCTAATACTTAATGTTAATTATCTGTTGGCTATCAATGCTAACAGTAAAATTAGGCTTAAAAAAACTAAGATTGGCCAATGTAGTGGACACACCTTTATTCCCAGCACTGGAGAGGCAGAGGCAAGCAAATGTCTGAATTCCAGGCCAGCCTGCTAGAACTACATAATGAAATCCTGTCTGAAAACAACATCAAAGACTAATACATGGCATCCTTGAATAACTTAGAATAGTCTTCTGAAATTATCTATAAAAGATATCCTATAGTCCATGAGTATTTGAGCATCATGGTTAACTAACTATTGTGAACCTGAGTTCTATTGGTATTTTGCCTGCAAGTATGTCTGTGCACTGGTATGTGCTTGGTCCCTCTGGAAGCCAGAAGAGGGTGTCAGATTCCATGGAACTAGAGTTATAGATGGTTGTGAGCTGCCATGTGGGTGCTGGGAATTGAACTCAGCTGGAAGAGCAGTGGGTGCTCTTAACCTCTGAGCTATCTCTCCAGCCCTGTATCCATATTCTTTATATACATAAAGAGAACTGTGTCATTGTCTTTAACATTGTGTCCTCTGCCCTGTCTGCCCAGCATTCATACGGAAGCAGATTTCTGTTAGTCCATGTCTCTTGCTTTTATTCTAAGTAGACATGAGTAACAGGGCAGGCAGAAAGCTGCTCTTGGTCATTTAGAAAATCCAGGTTCCACACTTTCAGTGCTTGATATTTCCGTTTGTCTGTCACAGTGTCAGTAGTCCACTGACTGGGAGAGTTCCATAGGCAGGACTAACTCAGGGTTTAGAACCAAGCCGGAGATCTCTTTACAGTTAAGATATTTGACCCGGGTTCTTCAGGACTATGTCAGAACATCCTTTGGATTTTACTGGTTTTAAAGCTAAGGAAGTATTAAGGCCTGCATACGTAGAAATTATTCTAGTTATCAGACAAAGCAGGAGGAATGGGCTGATATGTAAAAGGTAGAGGGCCTGGCCTCATGGCACAGGCTTATAGTCAGCTGCTGGGAGCTTGAGGCAGGAGGATCACAAACTCAAGTCCTTCATGGGCTACCGAGTGACCTCAAATCGAGCGTGGGCTAAGTCAGTTAGACCGCCTTTCTCATGACTATTTCTTTTCTTTTTTTGGTTTTTCGAGACAGGGTTTCTCTATATAGCCCTGGCTGTCGTGGAACTCACTCTGTAGACCAGGCTAGCCTTGAACTCTCAAACTCAGAAATCCGCCTGCCTCTGCCTCACAAGTGCTGGGATTAAAGGCGTGCACCACCACTGCCCGGCTCTCATGACTATTTCTTAAGTCTAGGGATCCATGTCTCAAGAGATTGAGCACATGCATGGCACATGAGAGGCCCTCGGTTCACTTGGTCCCCAGTACTGCCAAAGCATGACAGGGGCTGAGAGCCAAGAGAAGATGTGGGGGTTGTAAAGGAATCTGTGGTCCTTTTCTTTGTCTACTTTGTGTCATTTGGTTTATAGTTGTTATTTTCTGCTGTAGTGATTGAAAAGGAAAAGCCAGAAAACTTTAAAGTATAGTAACAAAATGAAATGTTAAAGCTAAGCACTTTTTCCTCAGTACTTTCTAGGGGCCGCCACTCCTGCTATTAATTACTCCCTTCAAAGTCCACTGGATGATGTCTCCCACACTGTAGAGGTTCTGCCGTTACCGAAATTCTAAATACTCTGAAACACTCACCAGTTTGCAGAAAACTCATCTGTGGTAAATCCTAACTGAGACATTTCTATTACCACGTTTATTTTACCCGTCTGGCAGGCTTTGCTGCAGCATACTGAGCTGAAACTACTCATAATATGCTATGTACATATCATACCACTTTCAAATAACCAAAACAGAAAACATTTTGAGTTCTGAAACATCTCTGAACACCTGGAGGTCAGAGGACAGCGTCTGCGAGTCTTTCCACCCTGAGGTCAGGGAGTTGAGCTCCGGCCATCAGGCTGCATGGCAAGTGTTCTCACCTGTCCAGTCGCCTCACTGAGTACTCCAAAGGTCCAGATGAGGACCGTGGAGATTTGCCACATTGTACTGATGGATGGAAACTGGGCTAACACATGACATTGGCTGTGTGTATTTGCTATTGCTACTTGGACTCTGATTTTCGTGATGCTTTTTTAATGGTAAATTCAGTGTTTCTAATACTTGGTTAGTGTTTCTCTCCCCCCTCCCTCAATTCTTTTTCTCTTCCCAGAGTCGAATAGACGTATTAGTGGAGGTGCTATGCAACTCTCTTTCACACAGCTGACCATAGACTATTATCCTTATCATAAAGCAGGTGTGTATAATAATTTATTTAAAATATGCAAATCTCACTTTTAAAATGATATAGCCAATTATTTTTCAAATTTAATTGTTCATATGTTTTAACTTATTAAGAAGAAAAGATATCAGATATTGTTATTATTTTTCTTTTGGTAGCATTTTATCTGGAGTATAGAATTGCCTTAGAAGTAAATTGAAGTATAGATTATTAGAAACTGCAATTGTTAGAAACTGACCAGTTTGGGCTAAGGTATCACTAAATGGTTGAGAACTTGAATAGCATGTTTGAGGCAATGGGTTTGATCCACAGCGTGTCACACACACACACACACACACACACTCACATACACATATACACATACACAGACACACATATACACACACAAGTTGAAGGGGAGAAAGAATTAAAATTATCTAAATAAGTAATAAATACATTTTTGTTTTGTTTTGAGACAAGGTTTCTTTGTAGTCCTGGCTGTCTTGTAACTAGTTCTGTAGACCAGGTTGTCTTTGAACTCACAGAGATCCACCTGCCTCTGTCTCCTGAGTGCTTGGATTAAAGGGGTGTGCAATCACATTCACCATAAATACATCTTTTAAAGCTTATACAAATTTAGAATATAGCAACATGCATTTGTATCGCTGGAAGCTGAGTTTGTCACAAAAACCTATGTGACCCCATGGAGACCTTTCGAGAAATCGTGACTCCATCAGAAGCTAAAGTAGATTGGACAGTGTGGACTCCAGAGCAAGCGTGAGGTGTGGAGGGTCAAGTTTACCCTGGCCACGATCCGTAAGGCGGCCCGGGAGCTGCTGACACGGGATGAGAAGGATCCTTGGCATCTGCTTGAAGACATCACTCTACTGAGGTGGCTTGTTCGCATTGGGGTGCTGGATGAGGGCAAGATGAAGCCGGATTACATCCTGGGCCTGAAGAGTGAGGATTTCTTGGAGACACGGCTGCAGACCCAGGTCTTTAAGCTGAGCCTGCCAAATCTATTCACTACGCCCGTGTGCTTATCCGCCAACGTCACATCAGGGTTCACAAACAGGTGGTGAACATCCCATCCTTCATTGTTCGTCTGGACTCCCAGAAGCACATTGACTTCTTCCTCTGTTCTCCTTATGTGGTGGCCGTCCAGGCTGAGTGAAGAGGAAGAATGCCAAGAAAGCCCAGGGCGGTGCTGGAGCTGGTGATGATGAGGAAGAGGATTATTAACACCCGGCTGCACTGAAAGATTTTCTTAGTTTTCCATTTAAATAAAACAGAATTTAAAAGAAAAAAAGAAAAAAGAGAAAACAAATCCCAAAATCTTACAGGACTTTAAAAAGCAGTGAGAGTGTCGTGTTGTGTTCAGGCTTTCCCTGTCAGTGCCCGCCATTTCTGTATCAGCAGGGACAGATTTAGAAACTCCGCTGTTTGTCTTGGTTTCTTTGTGAAAGGCTGTGTTTCCGGTCCTGTTCTAATTGGTAAGGTTTACAGAACTTGGCAGGTGGATGCTGTGCTGTCACAGGCCTGTGGTTCCAGCACTGTGATGAGGCAGGAGGATAATAGCTATGACGCCTCAGTCACTCTAGAAAGCATTAGCTCCAAGTTGGAGAAAAGCCTTGTAACTATGGAGATTATTTTCAGTTTAGAGGGCAAGACTAGTCATAGAGCAGATTTTATTTTTTTAACTTTCATATGTACCTAAAACTTCTGTAAGTTGTTAAGAAGAAGCCTACCCTTGATTTTGTCTTGTCCTCTCAAAATGTGTTAAGTATTTATGATTGGTAGTTGTACTGTGACGTCTTGTTGTTTCCTTAAATGCACTGACAGCCATCAGCTTATTAGTTCTTATACTACATCATAGCTCGTCACTTGATAAGTCTCTGAAAGGTTCTTTTCTGGGTGTTTTTCTAAGATTGTTTATATTAGATGATTGACAGTTAGTTGAGCATCTAATGAAAATTGCCTGATTCTGTAGTTTTGAATTGAACGTTGTCTCACCAAGTGTGGGCTCTGGACTATTTGCTTTCTTGCTTTTGTTTTTGTTAGAGAAGTAATACACACACACACACACACACACACATACACATTTATATGACTTAAGCCTGTAATCAAGACCATGTCTCAAAAGAAAAGAAAACTGGCTTTCTAGAGAAAAATGGCTGTTTTGTAAAAATCATTGCTGTAACAGAATGGAAATCATGCATGCAGTAAATTCCTCATATTCATTTTGCAGGAGATAGTTGCAGTCACTGGATGTATTTTAGTGATGCAACTAAGACAAAAAACGGATGGGCTAACGAGCTGTTACATGAATTCGAATGCAACGTTGAAATGCTTAAGCAGGCTATGAAGGACCATAATTTAGGTTCTCCTAAATCCCCAACACATTCCTCTCCCCAGCACACACAAACAGGTATTTAACCTAATGATATGCCCCTGATATTCAAGCAGCGGGGAGGAAAGAGGGGATGAGAATATATTTTTTATGAATATTATTTCTAAGCATTATTTTAAAATTTTAACAATTGTATAGGCTGAAACACTTGAATAATTTTATTTTTAATAATGTGCATGCGTGTGTGTTTATGTACGGGTTTGTGCACATGAGTGGAATGCCCGTGGAGTTATCCCCTGAAATTGAAGTTACAGGCAGTTATGAGCTGCCTAACACTGGTGCTGGGAACCAAACTTGGATCCTCTGTAAAGAACTATGGGCTTTTAACGGCTGACTCAGCCTTCTATTTTTAAGACTAATAGAACCAATAATAGCAATAGGCACTTATGATATTTATATTCTTAAGTGGCTTGTTAATATTTCACTTTAACATTCTAAGAGAGAGGCTTAAAATATAATTAAAGATATGATTATTGTTTTAAAAATAATCATTATATCCATATGCATTACTTTGTTTGAGAAATTTAGCACTAATCAGCTTCTAGTAGCTTTCCCTACAGCAGATTACCTATGAAAAGTAATTTCATAATAAACTAAAAGTTTTTGTTTCTCACAGAGAAAGACTCAACTCTGAAAGGGACTCCTAAAACACCTTCAGTATTATCTCAACCATCAAAAGCTAAGCTCATGTCTAGTTCTGTTGTTGTTAGACTTGCAGATTTCAATATATATCAGGTATGTAGTAAATCTTTCCATTGTATAAGCAACCCAGTAAACTAATACCATCATTTATCTTTAAAGGTCTAGACTAATTTTATGAAATCTAATTATATGAGTTAGAAAATATCAGTTCGCTGATTTTTGTCATCTTGACTGACAGAAGCTGAAGTCAAGAGAGTGGTGCTAAGGCTGTCATCATTGCTGAGGGTTCTTCACCAGTTATAGTCTCGGGGTTACCTAAATTACACGCAGCTTAGTGCTGCACTTAAAAGCCTCAGGTCTCACTGAAATCTCTTATATAAATTCATTTTGGCTATAAAAGAAAATGATAAAAAGTAGAACCTGCCATAGAAACAGTGCACAGGGTACAGTCTGGAAACTTTCTAGACGTAAAATTCAGACTGTCGATGTAGCTCAGTGGTAGAGAGCTTCCTTAGCATTCGGAAGGCCCTGGGTTCCTCCCTAGCATGAGGTGCAGGTGCATGCTGTCACCTTGGAGTATTGCCTTTGTGGTTGAACCATCCTGGAGTAGACTGATGGTAGATGACCCAGCGTTTTCCCCGAACTCTAACCACTAAGAGGACTATCCAGTGTCACCAGCCCAACCCACAGTCTTCTGGTTTTTATAACTTTATCAGTTGGTGTTGTGAATAGGAAATTATGGGTTCTGATTATCTCTAGGGAGCAGGAGCAAAGCCCAGAGTACTGGGAGACCAAGTTTCTTAGAGCACAGTGGTGTGTGTGGAAGAAGCTGAGACACTTTTCTTGCTGTGCTCAACGCTTGTAGAATAACTGCTGTGAATGGACTTCTCTGTGACAACTCTGCCTCACATGCCCTGTTTACTCAATCATACTGTAATCATCCTTTACTCAGTCATCACTGTTATACACAACATAGCCTAATAGCTCCATCTTCAGGAGCAAAGCATTATATTACTTTAAAAATAAAAACATTTATATTCAGATAATCATTTATTCAGTGTTATTGTTTATTGTGGTAAGTTTTGCTGAAAAGTTTCATTTAAGTATATGTAAAGCCCTGATTATTTTCTTACTGTGCAATAGCTTTCTTTACAAATTATTTATATAATGCAGCTCATTTACTTGCTGATTGCTTTATTTTTCTTTGTGACAGACTCTCATTTAGCATAGGCTAGTCTTGAGTGCCCTATGTAGCTGAGGCTGGCCTTGAGCTGTGTTTACTTCTTCCTCTACCTCCAGTGTGCTAGGGTTAAAGGCATGCACCACATGTCTAGCTTTAGACTTTAAATTTTAACATTTAAATAAAACCAAATTGTTCATAGTGTGGTGAAGAAACTCTGTATCCAGAAACATTTTAAAAACCACAAAAGTAAAAAGTGACAGAAAGTAGTGATATTTTCATCATAATTGCAATAACTTTAACAATTAAAAATATGCTTTTGTTTATTAAGTTGGCAATATTGAGAAGGGTTTGTTTCTTTAATGTGTAGGAAGCTTTTTAAATTATACAATGTAAATTGCCTTAAATCTATTTGTACAAGTAACCAGAAAGTTTGATTATTTCAAGAAACATTGTCAAAAGAAAATATACTCTCCTAATGCTTCGTATAAGAAGTAGATACATGTGGCGTTCCCAAGATGGCTTAGCAGGTAAAGGTGTCTGTTCCAAGCCTTGATTTGATCCATGGGACCCATGCTGTGACAGAATGAGAGAACTGACTCCATAAAGTGTCCTCTAACTGCCACATGTGTACCATGGCATGTACAGTTCACACACACACACACACACACACACACACTCACAATCTAATGATGATGATGATGATGATGATGATGATAATGGAAATAGGAAAGGGATATAGACATTTGTTGAACAAATGAAACAGTTAGAGCAATTTCCAACCCTACTAACTTAGCCTAAATAAGTAAACTGATAAAACGTCCCTGGCTGAGAACTGGTGCACTGTTTTTTGCTACAGTGGCTTTCAGGTGTGCCAGCCTTGTAGCTAAGGTTGACCTTGAACTTCTTTTTCTTCTGACTCCACCTTTAAAGTCCTGGGATTGCAGGCCTGGGTTGTACAGTAACCAGCTGGAGAGTGAACTCAGGGGTCTATATATGTTAAGTGAGTGCCCTGTCAACTGAATTACATCCCCAGCCTGGTGTGCACACATTACTTTGATGTAATGAGCCATTTGGTAAACATAGTTAAAACAAACAGCAAAACACACACACACACACACCCCTTAAAAATAATAGTTCTCTTGGAAAATAATTGAGATACCAAATGACTTGAGTGAACTATTTATATTATGCTGTGTTTTACATCAATTATTTCTATAAAATTGACACAATTTTCCATACTTCTTTTAAAATTACTATTTGTTGATATTAAATACATTCACAATGTATGAGTAACACCACCATCTATCTGCATAGTATCACAAACTCTAAGACTCTTTCATATTAATAGTGAACCTATGAAGCATAAAGAACATACTGAGAAACAGTTCTGACCTTGATTCCAATCTGTGTCCAGAATCTGCCACTTATTTATCTATATTAACTAATAATAGACACTTATTACTATTGCCCTGTCATTTTAAAGACTCAAAATAGTAAGTTTACTGAAGATAGTGTACAAAGTTGAGTTTTTAATTGATAAAGATATGACTGGTTATGGAGTTTTCTGAATGGCTCATGGATATTTCATGTTGGATATTATTTTTGCACATCTGTTTATATATTTAGTGTGTCACTGACACCCACACCCCTGCACACAGCACAGCATATATGTAGAGGTCGGAGGACAGCTTGCAGTTCTCTTCATTCTCCATGTGGCTTTCAGGGTTGACCTCAGGCCATCGGGCTTGGCAGTGAGGACATTTACCTGCAGAGCAGGCCCTCTTGCTGGCTTGGAGGTGATTTTAAGAGCTTAAAAGTGATGAGTGTGTAGGTTGCAGAAATTCTTTGGAAATTTTTTTTTTCTGAAATATCTAAGCAAACTTGTTTTCTCAGGTCTCTACAGCAGAACAATGTCGTTCTTCCCCTAAAAGTATGATTTCCTGCAACAAAAAATCTCTGTATCTTCCACAAGAAATGTCAGCTATCTATATAGAATTCACAGAATATTACTATCCAGATGGGAAAGATTTTCCAAGTAAGAGAGTTTACTTTGTTATTGTTTGTTCATTATTGGATTCTTTTGATGAATATTTTAGCTATTATTAATTTATGCAGGAAAATTGTCTCTTATCACTGTGTTTAATGACACCTCTTTTAAATGTACACCTTTGTACCTCACACTTCTACATGTTGTTAATAGTTGTTCATACCTCTTCTTGTCTTCTTCTGTGGCATCTTTGATGGCAGAAATCTTGTGGCATTTGTGATTGATTTTATATTTGTAATTTGTGCTTTTATTCTGCTTTTTTGTGCTTACTAGCTGTTTGTTAAATGAAGTATGAATGAATGTTATGTAGGCATGGTCATTTTATTTTATAAAATTCCATTGGCAAAGTCAGAGATACAAAAACCCATTTTATTAAAAAAGGAATAATTGAAGTTTCTTTTTAGCTATAAAGAATTTCTTTTGGCTCTTGTAAGCTATTTTAGCTTCCTAAAGTTAAAATGATTGTATATTAAAATTATGTGTCTTTGTTTCATTTCATCTGAATTTTTCAAATTAATGTCTTCCTTTATATTGTAATCTTTACATGTGCATATGTGTGTGTGTGTGCGTGGAGGTATACAGATGTTTGTGTGTATAGAGTTCAGAGACCAACTTCAGGTTGATGTCATTCTTTATGCACTGTCCACTTTGATTTTTTTGTTTGTCTGTTTGTTTTGGTTTTCCTTTGGCCTTTCTAGACAGAGTCTCACTATGTTGTCCTGACTATCCTGGTACTCTTGCTTTGTAGACCAGTCTAGCCTGATACTTTTTATGTAGACCAGGCTGGCCTTGAGCTCAGAGATCTACCTATCTCTGCCTCCTGAATGCTGCGACTAAAGGCATGTGCCACCATGCTTGACCCAGTTTGTTTTTTGAGACAGGATGTCTTGTTGGACTCTAGCTTACCAAGTATGTTAGGCAGGCTGGCTGGCCTGTCCCAGGGAACCCTGCTCTGTCTACCTTCCTATCCTGGGATTACAGGCGGGCACACCTAGCTTTTGTTACAGGGTTCTAAGAACTCTAGTCTTCATGCTTGTGAGACTTTCCTGTTTTCTTTAATGCTGATTTATTTATTTAGTAATGACAATTTTATGTATATGAATGTTTTGCCTGCATGTATGTATGTATGTATGTATGTATGTATGTATGTATGTATGTATGTCTGTGAACCACCTGCATATAGTGTTCAGTGAAGCCAGAAGAGGATCTCCATCCAGGAACTGGAGTTGTAGATGGTTGTGAGCTGCCACATGGGGACTGGGAATCAAACCCAGGTCCTCTGAAGGAGCAGCTGACTCACCTCCCCAGCCCAGTGTTGGCATATTAATGTAGGCTTTGAGTTTCAGTGGGAATCTTTGACACTCATGAAATAATTTTTGTTTTTGTTATGAAATAAGGCATTTTAGAAATCACTTTAGAAAATTTATTTTATCATGCTATTCTTTATTTGCACCAAATTGATGACATGTGATCCTTCGTTTTCTTGCTTTCCACCATTCTTCTGTGTGCACAGTTGTTTTTCTCAACTCCTCTTCTGACTAAGAAGATAGAGTTAACATAGGTTGAAATATATTCCCAGGGTCTTTTAAGTAACAGAAGAGCACACCTGACACACAGCATGGTCTTTCCATTGCTGCCTTCCCAGCGTTACGCTGTTCCCAGGGCATCCATGGCGGCCCTTTGTTTGTCATTATCTGACTTTACTGGAATCCCTCTGTGTTATACCTAACTAATTTCATCCTCCAAGTATTTTTTTCTTTGGAGTTAAGACTAGTTTCTAGGTTGCATGACTCCTTTTTTTAAAAAAAAAAAAAACAAATTGAGACAGTGTCTTACTGTGTACCCCTGGCTGGCTGGCCTGCTTTATTGACCAGACTGGCCTCCTGCCTCTGCCTTCTAATGCTGGGATTAAAGTGTGCACCACTGTGCATCCAATCAGCCATGTGGGACATGGGCCTCATATGGACTCACTTTGCCTTCATTTCTTCAAGAGCTCTGTCACCAAATAGTCACATATCCATACACCTCATATGCCTAGTTTCTTGCTTCACATTTTATTTTATTTTTATTTTTATTTTTTTTGGAGCTCGCACTTTAGACCAGGCCGGTCTTTGAACTCACAAAGATCCTCCTGCTTCAGCCCCCACTACTGGAATTCAAAGCATGTGCCATAACAGTGGTCCATTCATGTAAAACTTTTTACTTTTAATATAGACTCCAAAATGGTCTTCAACCCATTGTTACTGCTTCTAGTGGTCAGCATCCACAACACTTGGAGACCTAACTTAGCCTATGACAACATTGTCTGTGCCTGCCGAGTTAGAAAGTTTCACTGTAGCACTCAAGGATGGAGAAAGTACACCATGTCTCTCCCTCCCTCCTTCTTGAGATTGTACTTTTCAGAAACATTCAGAGTTTTTGCCTCTTGTCATTCGTTGCCATGTTTTCATTCTGTGAACCTGAATGCAATTTCAGGTACTTTAGGTTAGTGTTCAAATTACAGCGCCTTAACAAGAGAGGGAAGCACTGTCCAGGGTTTCCGCCTACCACCTGAAGACATATGTGTGTATAGTTACTGTGTCCTTGCAAACGTCCTAGGCATGTTGGCCTAAGAATCAAGACATTTATATGCATAGACCAGGCTGGTTTAGGTCATTAAAATGAATTGTATGCCTGTCCTGGTGGCTGTGGAAGCTTTGGGATTTCTTTGGATGTCTTAGTTCCTGCATATAAACTTAATCCTATATCAGTTTTGTTAGCAGTCATGTGCTCTGGCCATCCACCATCCCACTAGAATGGCTTGTTCCATTTCTACTAAATCTTGATCAGACTGAAGAAGGAGAGCTTGCTCTCTAGGCCCACGTTTGACTTTCAGGCTGTGTGTTCTGTTCTTATGGTTTATCCTTGGACCAGTAACCTTGCCTCTCCACCTGTGTCATGTCTTTATTGTCCTCAAGGCCCCAGAGAACCATCTCACTGTCTACTCCTTCCATCCTTCAGGCTCTCCCTACCACAGGGCCTTCAGCTCTTGACATGGATGACTTAGGGCAGTAGCAGACCTTTCAGCCCATCCTCAGCCTGCTGCATTGGCCTTGGGCTTTGAGGATGAAGAACCATCATGGTGGAGAGGCATGGTGGAGAAGACCTTATCTCTAGAAAAAAAGGGGCTTAAGAAAAAAACCCAGCCTATATGTATTCAATTAAAAACAAGAGTTGGTTCTGTAGGAAGCAGTACCAATACATTGAAAGAATTTTCATAGTTATCAGAAACTGTGGGAAGTTTCACTTGGTGTATCAAGTATTACTGGAAAATTGGGGTCCTTTCTCAGGAGTCTTAGTCTTGTAGAATAAAGACCTCATAAAGCTGTTCTGAACCCTGTAGTTTTTATGATTAATATACTTGCACTTTCAGAAGAGATACAACCTGTAATTATCAGCATTCGTTTAGTGGGAGGAACCAGAGTGTAGAGTCACGGGTTCTCTGAGACGTCTCAGTTGCTACTGTATTCAAAGCTCTGTTGTAGGCCTTTGTTAAGAGGAGAGTGGGCTTTGCAGTGCTAGTGCCTCTTGGTCTTTCTGCCAGGCACCCCGCTTTAGAGGATGCAGATTGTGATGCAAATAGATAGGCTGTACCGGCAGGCCATTCGGCCATGATTTTGACATCGTGTGTTAAGAAGGTGATGTTCTATTGCTTTGCTGTGAATCTGACAGTACTGTTTATGCATTTAATTTACATTAAATTATGTTTTTTCAGTTAGTGAAGCATAGAAAAATGTTTTATGTTTATATTTGCTGTTGGTCACATATCTAGCTTCATGTATGATAAAGGAAGAATACAACTTGTTAAGAATATCTTTTCTATGGAAGCCTAACTGTCTGTTCGTTAATGGTGCTCAACACTTTTTTTTTCTCCACAGTTCCGTCTCCTAACTTATATAGCCAGCTGAATGCACTACAGTTTACCGTAGATGAAAGAAGCATTCTGTGGTTAAACCAGTTTCTACTGGATTTAAAACAGAGTCTTAATCAGTTCATGGCTGTGTACAAGTTGAATGACAGTTCCAAATCTGATGAGCATGTTGATATTCGAGTGGATGGCTTAATGCTAAAGGTATTGTATAAACAAGTGGGGTGGCCATGGGGACTGAGCTGCTTTATTCCTCTGTGTGTGTGTGTGTGTGTGTGTGTGTGAGAGAGAGAGAGAGAGAGAGAGAGAGAGAGAGAGAGAGAGAGAGAGAGAGAGAGAG